TATGGCCCGCATATAGTTCGCATATCCATGTATTCCCGGTTAGTATAGAAGTGCGACACGGCGTTTTATCCATGTGTTTTTCGTACCATTCTGTCGCATACTGGCATATGCTTGTAGAAATGTGCAATTCTGTTCGTGTTGCACCTGGACCGCAATTTGATTAAGCATTTCCGTTATTTCATCATTGTTGCTTCCATCCCAGGGATTCATCGCGTCTTCGTGGATGCGAAACCTACAAGAGTGGCAGTCTTTCAATCAGTTGGCACGTGATTCATTGACTCAAATTATATTGAAGTTTGCAATTACAAAATGCCGACATTGTTTTTAATGTAAGTAATGTCGTCACCAATGTCATTTGGAACACATAATCATATGAATTGCACAAAAAAAAGAAGCTGTTCAACTTATGCTTTACAAGGAGGCCATGGTGGTAACAACCACAAAACTAGCCAGCAAACTAAACTAACAAATGAACTTGCGACATATAGGCATTCAAAAACGTGCAAGTAAAACGTAATTCCCTGTCTTAAACGTACCCACAGAAAATATTATAACATAAACATCCCATTCAATTCCCAAAAACGAAGCACAACCATGCTTGCGTTCCGTCAACCCATGCACTTACCTAAAACTTGTTGCTGCCCGTAGCTAGTAATAAAAAAACAAAAACGACATAATGAAAACATGCACACACCACCATCCTGTTTTAGTACAGTGCCAACAATATCATAAGTCAAAGTTTTAAAAAGGAAGAGAAGGACATATGGGGGTCATCATCTCCAACCATTAAACCATCCTATTTGTGGACTATATATAGGACTTTAACAAAAAGTTTTGAGTTTTTATAAATTGACCCTAGTGAAACTATATATAATTTTGAAAAATTTTTGTTTGTTCATAAGTTTTATGGATTGAAGTGTGTCAAATAAATATTTCTTTGTAATGCGATTGATTTTCCCAGTTGCCACGCTAAGTTCCCAGATTTGGGGGTTTTGTGCGGACTTTATTTTGGATAGAATTTACCGAGTTTTTGAGTTTGAATCTGCTGGTGATCATTGTGATTTCGTTAGAATTGAGTCAACTAAAGACCAAATTTTGAGCAACCAATTTGGAACAAGCATTGCTTTTATTCGAGCGTGGTTGCTTTATTTTGAGGTCTTTGGGATTCAAGTTTACTCTTTGAAATGATATGAGCCTTTCTTGAATAAGTTGTGTTTGAATCCCAATATGTTTCCCAAGTAAGTTTAATGGATGAATCCCAAATTTTTCCCTGAGAAAGTTTAATATTTGATATGTTATATAGGCCTTCCCTCAATCTGCTCCTCGTGAATTTTATGTGAGTAGTCAATTGCATTTTATTATCAATCCATTACTTGCATAAATCCTTTTTAAAAAGAACTGAGTGAGGAAAGAAAGGGGGCAATTTTTATTTTTTTTTCTTTTTTTAGGAATTAGAATACAAATATACCATGTTTCAAAATGTGCATTCCCAACTGAAAATCACGATGAACTTTTCAGTACCTTTCGTCATCACTATAACAGTTTAGGCCTTTGCTCATAACCAATGTGTTGTAATAATGATGTGATGAATTATTCAACAATAATGATGTAATCACAAAAGATAAATTAATAAAGATAAAAACACATCAGCATCAACATCTTTTGTAGACCAAAAGAGAAAGAGTAGTATAACCTAATCAACATAATCTCTTGAAACACCATGGCTAGAAGGGGAGGAAAATTTTTTAAGGTATGAAACCATATTATAAAAATTCAGGTAACTTCCGTGGTCAAAAAGAGTACCATATTATTCACAAACCTAAAACAAAAAAATTGTAATCCAATACCCAAATTGAAGGAAACAGAAATTTCTCTAAGTACAAGCATTAGGGGTGTGAAAAATTAGGGATTTTTGCTGTATGAGAACAATAGTTTTTCCATGAATTTGGAGATTCAATCATAGATGACAAATTAGGTAAAATCATGCGGTTCTCATTCTATACAAAGATAAATTTTTATCAAAGCTTTCCAAATAGTTTAACTCTTGAAACTGAGAGAGAAAGAGAGAGAGAGACAATGCCAATATACTTGCGAAGAGAGACGAGCTTAGAGAGAGGGAGGAAGGTGCAGCGAGCGACAGAGAGAGAGTCACTGTGAGCGACCCAGAGAGAGAGAGAGCAAAGAGCGACAGAGAGAAGGGAGGAAGGTTGCCTCTGGTTGGGGTTTTGGAGGAAAAGAAAGAGAGGAGGTAGATAGCGTGGTTGCAAATGAGAGGGAGGTGGGCCTTTTTTAAACGACTTTCTATTAAAAGCGTATTTTCAAATCGCGCTATCATTATGAAAACGCTAATAGTAACAGTGCTTTCTCAAGTGAGGGGGGGTGGGCCTTTTTTAAATGGCTTTCTGTTAAAAGCGTGTTTCCAAATCTCGCTATCATTATGAAAGCCCTAATAGTAACAGTGCTTTTTAAAGTAAAGTCGTGTTTTCTAAACACGCTTTCATAATTCCACTACCTGGGCCAGAAACATGTTAAAAGCGTGTTTTGTAAACACGCTTTAACTTAGTTTAAGAAATTTTGCAAAAGTAAACTTAGTTTGGAAAATAAATTAATATAAGGACTTAGTTTGGGAAAAGTCTCGAGGCTATCCCTAACATTAATAGATGAGAGCCCCACCTCGGTGTCACCATCACCTTCAAATTAGTTACATTTATAGTTGGGAGCTTTTTATAGGTACCTAGCATATTCTCTAACTACATGTTAACTACTCAATTCATATTATATATTTAAATAATATTAAAATACTTTTGTTTTTTTTTTTTAATTTTAAAATTTTAACTTAATTCCTTTCTTCGTGTCACTTGGCCTTCGTTTTTGATCACCACTTCTCAATTTTATATTGTTTAATTTTGCCACACTTTAAAATTCAAGGAGGCTAGAAAAGAGTATAGCAAAAGAGAAAAATGAGAAAGAGAAGCAAAGGGAGATGATGTGAAAGGAAAGAAACTGGACTAGAATTGTGTAGTCAAAGGTGGAAGTAGTGAGAAACAGGGACGGAGCTACGCCAAATGTACACCAGTGAAATCTCAAAATTTGTGGACTATATATAGAACTTTAACAAAAAGTTTTGAGTTTTTATAAATTGACCCTAGTGAAACTATATATAATTTTGAAAAATTTTTGTTTGTTCATAAGTTTTATGGATTGAAGTGTGTCAAATAAATAGATGCTTGAATGTTTTCTCACGACTTTTGAATTGTATGTTGTAAGCTCTTTTGTCTAGTTATTTGAATAGTGTTAATGTCCTAATATAGTGTTTTTACTTGTAATTAGTTTTGTCAATGTAATTGAGAATATATGAAATTTAGAAAGTTTCTTGTAAATATTAATATCATATAATTGAATATTATATATTTATTTTTATCAAATTTATTAACCATGAGTATGCTACTTCAAATAAAAAATAAATAATAATAATAATAATAAATGATGCACCAAGCATCCTTAGCATGACCGATTGAAAAATAAATAAAGAAAAAATAGGACACTTCTACTAACATGTCCTATTACGTGATTGTGCTAAACACGTATCCAACACTAGTACATGATTTGTAGAGAAATGTTCGTGCATCATATTTGTTGGCTCTGTGAAATCAAATAATTGACCCCGCTAAACAAAATTTCTAACCACGCCAAGGATAGGCAGTAGAGAGGTGCAACAAGGCTAGGTAAGAGCTGGAAAAGGGCGACAAAATTTGAGAAAAGTGGCAAAGAATGGAGAAGGTCGCAGCGGTAGTGGTAGTTAATGGTGGTAGCCAATGGTGTGTACCAAGAAATGGTGGTGGTGGTGATATCTACTAAGAGATTATGTTTTAAGGTATTATTCGAAAAAATAATTTGCTTAAAGGATAACATTGTAATTTTATAAAAAATTAAAGATATATTGAGATAATATGTGGTATTTAAATAGAAACTTCCTTATTTTTTAGACACCTTAGTAAGTTCCTTAAAACACACATTAAGCAAATTTAGAAAAATTATATATTTTTGTTACACGTATTTTCACAAGAAATGTATAATTCTTTGAAATTTTTTAACATATATTTTAAGAACACGCATTAACAAAATTCTTTAATTTTTATTTTTTTTTTAATATAGAGTAAGCCTTCGTTTGGGAAGGGTTTTTGACTTTTTGACTTTTTTAACTATTTTAACCTGGGGCTAAAAAGCCTGGTTTGGGAAGGACTTTTTGGCTTTTTTGGCTTTTTGGTGATGTGTCATCTTGTTAAATTATGAAATTGCCCTTTTTCCATTTTTTTTATTTTTTAATTTGGGTTTGGATGTGGCATATTTTCCGTTTTTTTTTTTTTACCATTTTGGCTTTTTGCTGAAAAAAAAAATTTTGGTATTTTTTTTTTTTGGTTTTTTTTTTTTTTTTACAATTTTGGCTTTTTGCTGAAATTTTTTGTTTTTTTTTTTGGATTTGGCATATTTTGGTTATTTTTAATTTTAATTTTTTTATGTTAGGTTTCGATTTAGCGTATTTTGCTAAATTTTTTTTTTTTTTTTTTGGGATCATTATTTTCCACCTTCATTTCAATAACTCAAATACTACCACAAAAGATGCAACAAAATAATGAAATAAATGCAGTCATATATAGCATTCCTCCTTGAAAAGTTGGAGGCTGTGCATTTGCTTTCCAAAGCATAAGAGAATCCCATTTAAAAGATCTATACAATAATTAAGCATAATAATGTTCCTCTATTCTATTGAACAATCATTCCTTTCTTATCCAATTGCTTCAGCATCCTAATCTGAAATCTTAATTGGAATTAAGATCTGAACTGATATGTACAGTCTAATTTTTGAGAGCTCAAAACTCAAAAATTTGTTTGGTTTGTAATTTTCACAAAACTATTTTCATTCACTTTTTCTATTTCTTCTCGCTTCTCACATCCTGCATATCAATCAATCACTTTTTCTCTCACACCCATCTATTCGACTAAAAAAAATTACAAATCATCGCAAACTACAAACTCCAACTACAAAGTTACAAACTTATTTTCAAAATATACAACTAAACAAATTTTCAAATTTTGAAAACTCTTTTCAAAAACTTACCTTTCAAAATTGATTTTAAAACTAAACCAAACACAGCCCAAAAGTAAGAAACCAAGAACCAAAAAAGACTGAACATCATGGAAACTCGGCTACTTTGAAACATCCATAAGAAGAATAGACAGTTGCAAATCTTTATGGCTCATCTTCTGGATATGACAATGGAATACTCATCTCGATCGTGAAGAAGCAAAATGGTGCTTGTGCTATGCAATTACTTGCACTCGGAGTGGAGGTCGTGCCGACTGCTGGTGTCATCATCTGAGGTTTAGTGTTCTGGACGGCTAACCAAATCATCACGTGGATTGTCAAATGAATCACAAACTGTAAAGAAGTGATCATCATCCACTGTCGGCTTATAATCCTTTCCCCTCCATACCACAACCTGTTCCTTGTCAAATGTCACCAGGACACAAGGCACCAAGTCCTGCGTGAAATTGTAAGAAAGAAAGAAATAGAACATACAGGTGTAATCAACAATGTCAAAAGGCGAAACCAAAATAAGTTTAGAAAAGGATCGGTCTATAAGTAGATTGGTAAAACACTTTTCCAGTCACTAAGGTATTAGAACTTCAGTAGCAACAATGCATGGAACAACTGAAACTGCCACCAAAGTCAATTTACATCCACAAAACATAGCGGAGAGCTACTTCAATTGGATTGCATGAATGCTAAATTTAAGTTTACTGAGCATATGTTTAGGATAAGATGGGACGTTGATGTCAATTTTTTCAATTTTCCTTTTCCTTTTTTCTTTCCCTCCACAAATCCCCACTCAAAATCTTTGATCCAAACACAACTCAAATGGGAATATGTTTCGGATAAGATGGGAGATACACATTTCAAATTCAATCACAAATGATCATAACCGTAGGTCCGTAGGAATAGATATTAATCAAGAGGAAGAAGCTACAAGCACAAGAAGATAGCCAACAGAAAAGTAGAGGTGGTGAAAACGAGATCGTGAGCCATGACTTAGCGCATGATATGGCCCCCCATCTGAGCTGAATAGCAAAGTGAAATTCATGTGGCCAACATGGGGTTGTTGGAATGTTATGCTTTACAACTGTTGCATACAATAAATCTGTTGGAGCTCACAACACTGCAAATGTTCCCAGCTTATGTGTTAACCGTGTATTTTACTTCTTGAAGTTATTAAATTCCGCAAATTAGATATTCACAACTAATCATCTAACATTACTAATGGTTTTTTTATGTAAAATAAAAATAAAATAAAATTATAATCATTAATTTATCAGCAATATAACTTGTTTCTCTTTCTAGTTGAGGTTAGAGAAGGAAGGCTGTGTTTTTTCAGTCCAGAAAAGGGTGGGGTGTTAGGTAATTTAACTCAGGTCATAAAACAATAGTCAGTCCTACTTGGGGTTACTTGGGGGATTTACATCATAGAAATTATATTTGCTTTTAATAGACTCAAACACCAGACCACCTTTGTAAATTCAAAATTTCAGCATAATTCTTCATGCAAAGTCATAATTATCAGTTAGTAGCAGTTTGTCATCTGTTCGGCTTACAGGTACGTTGAACGTACATGTAAGCATTTTCATATAAGATAAAAATAAAAACAGAATCTCACATCTGACCCTTCCTGAACCTCGCAATGGCAAAACACATTCATGTGGCCAATGTCAACCAGTTGAATTAAGACTTACATCTGACCCTCCCTAGACCTCACAATGGTGGGAGGCTCGTTCACTGGGACTGCCTGTTTTTAAGCTCTCGCTATGCCTATTCCATTATATAAAGCACACAACTTACTCGGTTGGAGCTTAGTCATGCAATTTTGATTTTCAAAAAAAATTAATAGCAACAACATAATTTCCCCAACTATTACCTTTGCCTAGCAATTACTATAAGGACCAAAATGTAAAATCAACAAATCAAAAACCATATGTTAAGTTACTCACGCATCCCATGGAGCCAGACGCTAGTAATATCTATATATATGCATGTTTTCTTTGCTTTTCCTTTTTATATTTTAAATACAAATCTCTCTTCGTCCCCCCAAACGCCAGCCAACAGTGCACTTATGGGGGCAATTTGCAACAAGCATGGAACAAATTACTAAGAAGAACAAAAGATAGCAGATTTTGTATTGGTAGTTACAAGACAACTACCACAAGGTAAGATTAATCAAAAGCTAAAGTTTTACCCTCAGTTTGCAGCCTAGTTTCTTGTAGTCACTCTTTTCAAGGCCTTGGCAATCTATCCGAACCAACTCACTGGCAAGAAAAGCATCTCGAACCATAGGTACAAGACTACCATAATAACCATTTTTAGCTGCATTTGAAACTGATGTGTTAGAAACCATACAAAGTGACGGTATTGAAAGCTACTACTGACAGAAGGTTTACCAAGTTTTGTTAAGGCAGGAACAGCCAATCCTTTCTTTCTCATTCCCTTTGTTTCTTCAATGCTAAGGCCATCAATCGTAGTTTTGATAAGCCTAGGATATACAGGCTCGTGAGGCTTCCACAGCATTAAAGGAATCACGGGTCTCTTCTTGGGGATATAATTCCTGCCCCTGTATAATATGAGTAGACCACCATGTCTATGGATAATCTTGCCAAATGTTTTATCCTGGAATACAAGCATAAAACTTTGATTAAACAGACAAAACAGAATATCTAGGAGCCCATTAGATATGAATAATAACCAAGTTCATAATAAAATGGCACGAATAAATGTAAAAACCATGGGCAAAGAGGTACAAATTAATCTACCATGGTGTACAAAACACACAAGAAACAAAAGCATTACATACAATATGAATGTGAATTGCAAAAGGTTACTTCCGAAAGGAAATGCCTCTATGCACTATTCCTTTCTAAATAACGTCCTTAGAGGAGATGAAACCAAGAGAAGGAAATGCTTCTAGACATGAGGGGAACAAAGTACCTCTAGCTGAGTGCAAACATTTTTCATATCAACGGTGGGTACACCCATACACTTCACCCTGACAGCCTCAGCGTGTTTCCAGTGATTATGAATATCATTCAACATGTTGTGTGTTAAACCATCCCTTCCTACAATAGAAACCATGAATGCCAAAAGTGAGCAGAAAAAGGTTCTTGAGAAACTGCTGTCCCGCTTTTTTTTCCTTCTTTTTTTATATGGTGGAAGTGTAAATAGTGACATTCTAACAGCCTGAGTGTAACTCATTCAAAAATCTAAAAAACTTGGTCAAGCTGTAATTTCAATGATTTTTATTTACAAGATTGCTAAATTAGTAAAGAGTACGAAAGATACTGGTTGAATTAGCAAACAATTCCATGCTATCTTACTCCTTTTTAACTCAAAGAAGAAAATGCCTTGTGTTCTACTTCAGAATATTAAAATCAGACCATCAAATTCATTCTTAACAATTGACCATCATGTCAATTAAAAGCCTTCCTCTATGATATCTAATCCTCAGATAGTGACCTCATTCGACCCCAGCATTCCTAATCTTCATTCTTTACAACTCAAGAAACAGAATAAATAAACTAAGCATTTAAGCACTAATCAAAATCCATTTCAAAAACATAATTTACAGAGCTTCGTCATTTCTACAAACTATTTAATAATTCAAATCTAGTTTACTTTCTGGATACATATCTGCATTTGATTTGTTATTATGGGATTGCTTGGGTGTCCTAAATAAGTGTACTTTTTGAACTAAAAAGTAGAAGAAAAAAAAGATCATTATTTGGGACAACTTTTTGTCTTTTTATAAATTTTTTTGCCTTTTGACTTCTTCTTTTTTTTTTTTTTTTTCACTTTTCCAGTGTAGAAGCTAAGTTAACAAATGAAGTCAATATGTATTGCAATTTTTCATTAATCACGTAGACAACTAATCAAATAATTAGTTCCCTTCATGGGATTTCAAAAAATTTAGTATTATTCATCATGTTTGTTTCTAATTTTTTGAAAACACTTTTCAAAAAACTTTGTTTTTTTGTTTTTCGTATTTTTTTTATTTTTATTGAATTTTTGTAATATTTTAAACAATTTTTTTAATTTTTAGACACACCTAACGATTAACCTATAAGCTAATTAAATATTACCAAATCAATTAAATTAGCTAAGCAAATTGACTAATCTAATGAAAGAGTAAACAGCCTTCGGGAAGAGGCCAATGCAATGCGCGCTCGCTCCGTCGGCAAAGTCACTGCCATGCACAAGTTGCCTCTGCTTTTGACTGTTCTACTTCTTTGAAAATTGCACAACTCCCAAGGAGGCGCTCTCTGGATATTGGGGAGCATCACCGACCAAGGGGATCATCACCGAGCCATTTTGAAGTGGTTATCGACATCCATTGAGCTCTCGGCCAAATATATTTGGTCGGTCGGCAGTATATATGGCCGGCCGGCCAAAACTTCTTGCAGAAACCTATTTGACAGCAGCAGAGGGTAGAGACAAGGCATGCAATGCATTTCAAGCATGTATCCATCAATCACACCCCTTATCATATTCCATGGACTCAAAGGGATATGAATTCTCGATTCTCGGACCACCAAATCGTGCATTTCAATGCATGATGGCCCAAAGAATCAAGTGTGCATTTTCGATTTCAAATGAAATGCAATGCAACATAAACAACAAGGGCTTTCAACTCTATCATGGCTTGATCAAGAGGTGAAGCATGCATGCTCAATGCAATGCAATCCTAAGCATGTGAGCCTAAGTGTGCAATGTGGGCATGCACACAAGTAATGCAAAGATGCAACTAACCAAGCATGCAAAGTGTAACAACAACATGCACACATGCAAGGTGCAATATGGACAACATGTGATACAAAGCATGCCAAATGCAACAACACAAAAGTGTGCAACAATGTGTCATGAGCCAAGTATCTACATATATAAGCATGCGTGGCAAACATGGCTTAAAGCTTTAAACATCAAAAGGTAACTCTCAAGCTCACTTAAGAGAATGCAATCATGGACAAATGGCATGCACCTTAAGCTTTGAAATTGCGAGGTGCTAAACACCTAATCAAAGCAAGCAAAGCATGTAATTGGTCCAAGGACCTAAAGCATGATCATATGACACATGAAGCAAATGACCAAAATAGATCAAAACAGTCCTAAATCATGTTAAGGCAAGTCTTAAAAAGCACCTAGATGGCATCTAAATGATCTACACATGGGGGCATGCATAAATGCTTAAACATGGAGCATACAGCACAACCTCTTAAAGCATCAAAGGAGCATTAAATGCAAGCATGCAAGAATAATTATAAGGACTGAAATAACATGGTAAGTGGTTCCAAACCACTGAAACACTGCAAGTAATGCATGCTACACACTCACAACAACCACGGCCAACAAGCCAAAATGCAAGGTGGCTATACAAGCATGTTATGGTCGACCAAAACAACCAAAAACAGAGCTTAAGCATGCTAAAACAAACACAAAAGCTTCACAAAGCTTGGCCAAAATCATGCTAGAACAAGGATCAAAACCTAAAGCATATTAAGACCTAAACATGGCATTACAAGGCATGTATGCTAAGCAAGCAGGATGTCCCAAAACCAATTGAAAACAAAGCTATATTATGACATAATAAGCACAAAAATCAATTAAGGCATGGCCAACATGAACCTAAACAATATGCTCTCTAAAGAGGCAAAAATGGCCCTTTTCAAGGACAACAAGGAGAGGGGGTGGCCCTCTCCTTCCTAGAACCTCAAGGCACCATCCTCACCTCTGAAATCCCTCAAGATTTCAGTGGTGAGGAGGCCAAACACAATGGTCCCGGAGCTCAACCGAAATGGCACAAAACAAGAGCTAAACAAGCCTTAAGAGGGGTCAAACAACCCCAAATCTTAAAACACCCTTAACAAACTATTTAGAGCACTAAAAATCAGAACTTTTATATGTTACACACAAAGCTCAAAAACAGATGCAAGGTAGGCAAAAATGCAATGCAAAAATGGGGAATAAAGGGACAAGTTTCTTACCCTTGTAGACCCTCTTCACCAATGGTGAACCAGCTGGTTCTTCAAGCTCAAACCAGCTCCACAACTCCAAAACAACCCTCAAGGCCCTCAGCTCCAAGTAAAGGTGTGATGGTGAGTGTTTGTGTGTAAAACTAAGCTTTATACACACACACAAACACAAAAGAAAGAGAGATATAGATATAGGATAGATACAAATCCTAACCTAAAACTAGAGCTCTCTAACAAATGTAGTCTAAATTGTCTACCCTTCAAAGAGGGAGAGGAGGCCTCCTCTTATAGAGCTTCAATCTTGTAAGCTATACAAGACAAGCTAGCTAAGGGGGAAATCCCTCCATACACGTGTATGGAGGGGAGCCAAGTGCATGCCAGCTGCATGAAAATATCTGCAAAAGCAGATGCATAGTAGTCAGCCGGCCAAAAATGCAATTGACCAAAAAAAGATAGCCGGCCGGCCATCTATAGTGCTGACCGGCCAAACATTTGGCCGGTGGCAACAAAACACAGCCGGTGGCCTCAAGCCATGGCCGGTGGAAAC